AGGAGGACTAGGCCCCCTCCCCTTTCCTCAATCGTAGAGCCGTTGAAGCGCAGTCAGGAATTTCAGATCCGGCAGTCTGGATGGATTTTAAACAATCCTAGAGGGGTCATGTGTGGATTGGGGAGGGAGTAGGAGTGGTATAAAAGGGCCTTTTCTTGGTCCTCCCTCTGGGCAGACTGGGAGGTTGGGGGGTGGGAGGAGGTTAAGAGAAGAAGAGTCTCTTTTGGCGCCCAAGTCCTGTAGAGGTTGCGAAAAGGGCACCGGGTGTCCCTCCCCGTGGGAAAGGAGCGGTGGATTTTCCCACGCTTAGCAGGTGCGCGCTTGGCTACCACAAATTATAGAGTAGAATTATAATTAGTAACCACTCTACCTGAGCTATCTAATAGGATCCCTCTAGTATCACACTTGGCCAATAAAGAATTGTATTATATTCTATTCTTTCACATCTGCAGGATCTTCAATGGTTCTATTCCCAGCCAATGCCCCTAAATGGTAAGAGGGTGAAAGTTGTTACCCAACCATACCTGGAAAGCTCGGGGACCCCCAACCTTTCCGTAAAGGGGGAATAAATAAATACAGGTAGCCCTCAACCTATGACCACAATTGAGCCCAACATTTTTGTGGCTAAGCGAGACATTTCTTAAGTGAGTGTTGCCCCATTTTTACGACTTTTGCCACCGTTGTTAAGTGAATCACTGCAGTTCTTAAGTGAATAACATGGTTGTTAAGGGAATCTGGCTTCCCCATTGACTTTGCTTGTCCAAGGGTCGCAAAAGGTGATCACAATGGCCTGGGGCCATTGCAACGGTCATAAATATGCAACAGTCATAAATATGAATCGGTTGCAAGCATCTGAATATTGAGCCTGTGACCCTGGGGATGCTGTAAGTGGGGGGCGGGGGAGGCCATGTCATTTTTTTCAGTGTTGTAACTTTGAATGGTCACTAAAATGAACTGTTATAAGTCGAGGACTATCGGTAAAGGGGGAATAAAGGGGGCTTGTCAGGAGGGGGACAAGGGAACCAAGAGAGGCTTGTAGCATACAAAGCAGTACCCAAACAGCAAAGTTCATATTGGGGAGAGGAGGTGGGAAGAGGTCTCTTTTGGGGTGACCCTGAAATGCCTTTGCATTCAACTCTTTTATTCTCCCTGGTGTAGCACATTTTGAAATGAAGAAATATGACTTGCCTTGCTCTATGTAAGGAGGGACATAGGAACCAGAATTCTAGAGTCTGAAATTATCTAGTGACACCAATTTCCCCCCACCTCTCCTAAATCAGGAAAATATTTACATTAGGGCCGTCAGAGTTTGTGTGGGAAGTTAAGCTTGTTTTGATTTCTGTGTTTCAAATTAATTTAATCATAAGACCTAATGGAGGCATTAAATGGCTCTAACTCCTAAGGGAGCTATTTTAGGTTTGTCAAGTACTTAGGCATTAATTAGCCACTGTTGCAAGCTTCTTTCATCATCACATCTTGGAAAGTCACTACATTTACCCCTCGCCAAGAAATTTCAGAGGACTTTCAAATCCCTTAACCAGGTTTTGTTTATGGGCTCAGCTACAGTTCTGCCTCTATGACAGGCTTCACTTTTGTCGCCTGTAATTATGAAAACTGTAGGGATTTCTTTTCTCGCTGCTTTCTCTCTGGAGAGATGATCAACTTTTGAAGCCAATACCTAACTGAATTAGTAAAAAGTGTCCCCAGATACAAAAACTTATAAGAAAAAAGCTTTCAGACATATTCCGCTCCAAGTCTCTTGGGGTAGCCCTTTTGCCAAATAACAGGGGTAAAGTTAGGCTAACATCCTGCAGTGAACCAGAAGGCCATAAATGTAAATAACTCTTGCCTGTTTGGAGCTTAACAGTGGCATAGGCTCAGATACATACAGAATAGTTGGAAATGGCCATTCAGAACTGAGTGCAAAACCATGTCCACCTGGATTTAAGTTTTAATTGAAGGAAAGTTTTCTCTTTTTTTAACTTTCCTCTCTGAAAATGTAATGTTGAAGATTGCAGTGCTGGCTTATCAATATTTTAAATCAAGGATGTCAAACTCTTGGCCCGTGGGCCGGATGTATCGTGCGCTGGCCATGCCCACCCCCATTTTAGTGAAGAGGGAAAAGTCGCAATACATCACATGATGAAAAAATCAAACAAACTCAACTCATAAAATATTTCTATTGTCTTTTTCGAGTTGCCAACAGAAAGGGAGCGGGGAAAGGGGTTTGAAAGAGCAGTGCTCATAGCTTGGAAACCGAAAGTGCATTCCATAAATAGTTTTTCAAAGTTAGTAACTAGGTGACTGAAGTTTCTCCATGCAAATATCTAACTGGAGAGCATGATTGATGCCTCTTGGCTATGGATGTGTCCCATTGAAGAATATGAATTATGATACACCCAGGGGAAAACCAGGGTCAAAGGTGACAATGAATTATGTGTCTCAGAGTCGGCTACACCCAGGCAGTGCCGGACATGTTAATTCGCAATAAATCCTTTTGAAGTTTTGGAAGTTTGGTTCAAGACTCATGATTTCATTAGCGTAACTGCCGGAATCCTGACACAAACATTTATTGTCAATGCACAACATGTGTACAATGAAATTGAAATGAGCCTCCCTTGGTGCTGGCCCTGCAAGTCTATCATATTAAACCTAATTGTGGTGTTACATTGCATTCAGAAGTCTGACAGCCCATGAATAAAAGCTATTTTTCAGCCTATTTGTTTGGGTGGCTATGCTTCTATATCTCCTGCCCAATCGTAGGAGGATGTGAATCATCCCTGAGGATTTTCCTCACTCTGCTGAGGCAGCGGGTCTTGGTGATTTCATCCAGATGTCGAAACAGCTTATAATAAGATGGTGTAGAAAACATCAGGAATAAGCAGTCCTGCACATAAAGTGGCCCATGTTATCTATGTAGGGCTGTAAAAGTGACAAACTCTACCTTGAATGGTGGCACAGTGGTTAGAATGTAGTACTGCAGGCCACTTCTGCTGACTGCCAGCTGCCTGCAGTTTGGCAGATCGAATCTCACCAGGCTTAAGGTTAAGAGAGGAAAAATCTACCTCTGGGCCTCTGCTGGCTCAAGTGTCCAAAAAGATAAGAATGGAGTGCAACAGTGGAAGAATTTCTCCAAATATAGTCTCTGGAATTGCACTGGAACAATTTGTCCTAAAACGCTTGTTATTGTTAATCCCAGCAACACTCAAGATAGGAAATCATTTAAGAATTCAGACTCTTCTTTTTTTATCTTTAATCTCATGTTGAGCTTGCCAGGTGAGGCCTCTCCTCTGTAGCTCTTTCTGCTCCTTCTGCTGCTCCACCCAGCTGAGATGGAATTGACAAGGGCCACTACTCAAAAACTGCTCCAGGAGTTTATCATCTGAGCCTCTGTGCGTCTTTCTGACTTCAGCAATGGCAGTGGACATAACTGGAAATCTCGTGGGGCTATTTATTTTGGAAGTGGACATTTTTGATGATCGGTCACTAACAGACCTCTGAAAAGATGGGTTTCATAGATTTTCACAGAACTCCTTTGCACATTCCAAGTACTGTTTCTCCTTCATGCGGACCCTTTTCTGTTGAAGCAGAATAACAAAATAATGGAATAATGGAGTTGAAAGGAACCTTGGAGGCCTTCTAGTCCACCCTCCAAGCATTTGAATATGGCTTCTCCCCCATGTGGACCATTTGATGGGAAATCAGCTGAATCTTTTGGACAAAGCTCTTCCCACACTCTTTGCATTTATATGGTTTTTCCCTTATGTGAATCATTTTATGTTATGCTAGGGAACTGCTCATGATGAAACTCTTTCCACATTCCATATGGCTTGCCCCTTTTGTGAATCTTTGTATGGTATGCAAGAACTATTCATGCTAAAGCGCTTCCCTCACTCTGTGCACTTATATGGCTTTTCTCCTGTGTGGATTCTTCGATGGGAAATAAGTTTGGTACTTCTCCTGAAGCTCTTTCCACATTCTATGCATCTATACAGCTTCTCCCCTGTGTGAATCACATGGTTATTAAGAGTAAAGGTCTTTCCACACTCCATGCATTTATAAGTTTTCTCCTCATTGTGTTTTATGGGAATTGAGATTACTGCACTGGCTGACACTCTTTCCACATTCCACGCATTTATGTGGTCTCTCCTTTGTGTGGGTCCTTTGATGGGAAGTCAGCTGAGTGCTTCACCTGAAACTCTTTCCACATTCTATGCATTTATACGGGTTTCTCCCCCTTTATGGATCCTTTTATGGTAGGTAAGATGAAAGTTTTGGATAAAGCTCTTTCCACACTCTTCACATTTGTATGGTTTCTCCCCATGTTAATCATTCTATGGGAATTAAGATAACACTTCTGGCTAAAGCTCTTTCCACAATCCATGCACTTATGTGGTTTCTCCCCCGTGTGGATTTTTTTATGGGAATTAAGATAGCTGCACTGAATAAAACTCTTGATATGATCCCTCTCCTGCATGGATCCTTTTATGGTATGCAAAGGAACCGCTCATGCTGAAGCGTGTTATAATATGTACAGAATAGCCCTTGAAGTAATAAGGATATGCACATGGAAACATTTATGAGAGTAGATATGAATAATTAATTATTCAGCCACACACATAGATACACTAAATTGAGTTAAAAGTTTACTTTAAGAAATAGCACAGACCAATAAACAGTCCAGGTCATATACGTTTAACAGTCCAAAGAACATCCAATTACGAAGTCTTCTTACTGGTTGCCTTTGTCATTTACATTAAACAAAGATATCAAAGTATAAGCACAGCATAAATACAACAGAGAACCTTAGATAGCAACAGAATGTCAGAGAGAGCAAGCTATGATCTCTAGCTCCCTCTTATGGTAATTTGCAATATAATCAACCAATCGGAATATAGTATAAATCAATACAGTGATTTTGTCTTAAAGCTACAAACATACATTGTTGGTTTATATATTGCCAACCCAACTAATTGGTGTACAGATTCCTAACAAAGCTCTTTCCACAATCCATGCACTTATATGGGTTTTCCCGTGTGGATCCTTTGATGGGATGTAAACTGACTGCTTTTCCGGAAGCTCTTCCCACACTCCATACATGGATATGGCCTTTCCCCTGTGTGGATCATTTTGTGGGAATGAAGAGTAACCTTTTGAGTAAAGCTCTTTCCACATTCCATGCATTGATATGGCTTCTCCTGTGTGTGGATTTTTTTATGCGAACTGAGATTACAGCGCTGGCTAAAACACTTTCCACATTCCGTGCATTTATGCGGTCTCTCCTTCGTGTGGGTCCTTTGATGGGAAGTCAGCTGAATACTCCATCTGAAGTTCTTTCCACACTCCAAACACGAGTATGGTTTTGCCCCTGTGTGGATCCGTTTATGATAGGTAAGTTGAAAGTTCTGGATAAAGCTCTTTCCACATTCTTCACATGTATACGGTTTCTCCCCCGTATGAATCATTCTATGGTAATTAAGATTACACTTCTGATTAAAGCTCTTCCCACAATCTGTGCATTTATATGGTTTCTCCCCTGTGTGAATTTTTTTATGAGAATTAAGATAGCTACACTGGCTGAAACTCTTTCCACATTCCATGCATTCATACATTCGGTCAACTGCATGGATCCTTTTATGATATGTACAGGAACTGCTCAAGCTGAAGCCCTTTCCACAGTCCGTGCACTTGTATGGTTTTTCCCCTGTGTGGATCCTTTGATGGGAAATAAGACGAGAACTCTTCCGGAAGCTCCTTCCACACTCCATACATGTATATGGTTTCTCTCCGGTATGAATCATTTTATGGAAATCCAGAGTAACCTTTTGGGTAAAGCTCTTTCCACACTCCGTGCATTTATATGGTTTTTCGCCTCTGTGAATCTTTTGATGGGAAGTAAGCTGAGTGGTCTTTCTGAAGCTCTTACCACATTCCATACATTTATATGGTTTCTCTCCTGTGTGAATCATCAGATGGGAATTAAGAGTAACCTTCTGCGTAAAGCTCTTTCCACACTCCATGCACTTATATGGTTTCTCTCCTGTGTGAATTTTTTTATGGGAAGTAAGATATCTGCGCTTGCTGAAATTCTTTCCACATTCCATACATTTATACGGTTTCTCTCCGAAATGGATTCTTTCACTGGAAGCAAAGGAGCTGCTATCATTTAAATGCTTTCCATTCTCTGCACATTGACATGGTTCATTTCCCATGTTTGTTTCACCACATAAAGAAAGATTAGAAGTCCAATTGTAGCCATTTTCATCCTTTTGGTATACATTCTCTTTTTTAGTGCTAATTGTATGATGTTTGCATAAATCTGAGCCCTCTTCAAATGTTTCCGTGCTTCCCACATTTATTTTTTCATTTTGATATTTTCTGGGAAGAAAGCCTTGGATTTCAGTGGATGGGAAAGTTGAGTTACTGTTACTCTCATTTTTTGACAGATTTATTTCATGTTCTTTGGGTTCCATTGAATTTGCAAACTCCTCCCTTCTCTTCTTGTGCCTGAACATTTGGAAGGCTTCCTTGTTCTCTTGAATGCAATTTCCTTAAGAGAAAAAGAATGAATGAAAAATTGAGGCAAGGTAGAGGAAGCAAAGTAAGAATACATATAAATTTCCTAGTGAAATTCTGCCATATATTCTCCACTATTTTGAAATGAGTTTGTTCCGCTAACCAACAAATACTCTGATCTAAGCCTTACAAATTTGGAGTTTGAGTAACAAGTACATAATAATGTCCATATGTATAACACTGCACAGTATAGAAGTGGATCATTTCTATTTATGAGCTGCTTAAACCATCAAAAATGCATTTGTTTACATAAAACAGACATTTGCACTGTTACACCATTTCGCTGAATAAATTAATTCTGCTTATGGATTGTTATGAAATCTCAGAATTCAGTTAAGGAAGTGAGAAATCGGGGGAAATGCTGGTAATATACATTCCAGAGGTGAACAAGTAGAACCATGTGAGCAAGGATTTATAATTACTAGATCTAATTTCTTATCTGTCTTGAAATACCATATTTGCCAGCGTATAAGATGACTTTTTTGCCCCGAAAAACATGCCTCCAAGTGGGGGGGGTCATCTTATACGCCGGTATATCCACTGCCGGCTTTCGGATGCTTGTTGGACGCAGCGAAGGCGCCTCTGGCTTCCCGGATCCCCTGCGTCGCTTCCGCTTCCGCTTCTCTGAATCAGGTTCGAATCCCGCTCGCCTCGCTCCGCCCGAGGCTGCAGCCTCTCTGCTCCTCCCACGGCCCCTGGCACTCCGCCCTCCCGCTGCAGCCCCGGGGATTTCTGGAGGGCGTTTCCGGTGGTGGTGGTGGTCGTCTTATACGCCGGGTCGTCTTATACGCCGGCAAATACGGTACCTGCTATTAACTGTGGTAAAAACAATAGTTAATAGAGAAACAAGGAGGGATTTGGGGAACACAACAGCACTTAATATTGTTAATGTCATTTATATTTACTGATAATCTTCAACATACAACCACAATTTTGTCCAGAATTTCCACATTAAATTATGTTCACAAATCCAAACATGTGACCAGATCTGTTTTTACAACCATTTTTACAGTAGTCATTAAGTGAATCACAATGAGGGCTTGCAGTTTTCCTTCAGTCATTTAAAGTTGTTAAATGAAACAACACATACTGTGCAGTACTGCTGGGGAAAGTGTTAATGTTCCCTCCCCCAATAGTTTAAATTAATACTGTACCTTAATAAAAATCAGATCTATAGACAGTAACAAAAAAGCTGCAATTTTCTATATCAGGCGGAAAAAACATAATATTTGTACACATTTAAAGTTACTGTGGTACAAATATTCCTCAACTTGCGACCATCTGTTCAGCAACCATTTGAAATTACGATGGTGCTCAACAGAATTACAACCAGTGCTCAAAGTTATAACCATTGCAGTGCCCCCCAAGGTCACATAACCAAAATGTGGGTGCTTTGCAGCAAACCTACTCTTATTACCATAGAGGTGCTGCAAGTCACACCCAGCTGCCTGTCTCACCCTGCCTAGGCTGCCCTCACTAGTAGCACTTGGCTCCAAACTGCACCAAGCTTGGACTTGAACTAGAGACCAGGGGTCTTCAGCAGTCTTAGCTACCTGCTACCATCCCGGCCTCAACTTCAGCCCTAGCATCACCACTGCCGCTCAGAAATGCTGCCTTGTGCCAATCTCCATGGCACGTGAGCCTTGGGAAATGGGATGAATACCTCCAGGGCAAAGGGCTGCATGTCACTTACCTTCAGGTGACTTTCTCCTTCTATTGAGAGGCCCCCATAGTGTATCTGAGGCAGCTCCAGGTTGCACAAGGCCTTCTTTCCTAAAAACAGCTGTGGAAGAGGTTCTCGCATAGGCTCTGGAAGTCGTGTGAGAACAGTGTGCTGTTGCATGACCTCTGGGTCTTCTGGAAACTACAACAGGGCATGCTCTCATGCAACCTCCAGAACCTTCGGAGGTGGGCGATAGGACACGCTCTCATGTGTCGTCTGTTCTCCAGAAAGTATATGAGAACAGAATATGTTCTCACATCAGCCTCTTGGGGTTCTGGAATCCATGCAAGAATGGAACATGCTCTCACACAGCTTCCAGAATCCTCACAAGAATGGGGCATAGTCCTGCACAGCCTCCAGATGTTTCAAAGGCCACACGAGGGCACTCCCTCTTATGTAGCTTCTAAAGGCTCCAAAGGCCACATGAGAACATTCTCTGGAACTGCTTAAGGAATAAGGCCTCATAAGCCCTGGAACTGCCTCAAATAGGCTATGAGGATCTGTTAACAGGAGAAAGATGCTCGAAGATTAGAGGTGTGCTGCAGATTCTGAGGAGCACTGGGCAACTGCATCATTTCCCAAGGCTCACATACAGGACTAAAACAGTAGAACTGGTGTGGTGAAGGCAGCTGGCTGAGACTGCTGAAGACCCTGGGTCTTCAGCAATTCTAAGGCCTTAGAACTGCTGGAAGTTCTGCTGTATAGGGGTGGGAAAGGCCTGGGAGGTACAGCACAAGCCATGAATGAGCTGAGGGAAGGGCAGTGTGTGAAATAGAGTGCAGACCAGAGGTGGTATTCAGCAGCTTCTGACCAGTTCGGGAGAACCGCTAGCGGAAATTTTTAGTAGTTCGGAGAACCGGCAAATACCACCTCTGACTGGTCCTGCCCCTATCTATTCTCTGCCTCCGAATTCCAGCTGATCAGCTGGGTCTTCTTGTGTTGTCCTGTACAGGAGAACTGAGCTGGAAAGCAGGTTAGCGAGGTAGGGAGGGAATGGGATTTTGCAGTAACCTTCCCCCAGGAGTGGGGAGGGAATGGAGATTTTACAGTATCCCTGCCACACCCACCAAGCCATGCCCACCAAGCCACGCCACGCCCACAGAACCACTAGTAAAAAAAATTGAATCCCACCACTGATGCAAACCTAAACCACAGCCTCCCAAACACCAGATGTTCTGCTTTATGAAGTGTGGTTGATTAATAACTGCAAAAGGGAGAGCCAGGATTGGGGGTATTGAACAAAGCGGTCACATGGTACCCCATTTAGTGACTTCAAGGAATTATGACCAAAAATTCTGTGTTCAATTAAGGTTATAAGTTAAGCATTTGTCTCTACAGTACCATACTGCAAAACAAAGATTCCAACAAAAACCTTAAAACGTTTTAAATAATCGACCACTATTAATTGAAAATAATACTAGCCACAGAAACATTTCCAATTCACCTCGGTTCTTTAAGAAGAAGATTAGGATTGTGCTATAATGTACAATATAAGAAGAAAAACTCAGAAATGTATCTGAAATTACTATTTGTAGTGTATGTACTGTATGTGATTGAAAATGTAAGACAGGAAACAAATGATCTTAAAATCAAAACTATGCATTTTGTAAAAAGGTAGTGTTTCATTACTGTCCTATAAATTATTTCACTAAATTTACAATGTACTGTACTTATTCCAGTATTTATTTTACTGTATTTACTGTATAATATGTACAGTACAATACTGTATTGTATTTTAAATGGAAGTATCCTTCATTTTAGGCCTCTGAGTGGTTTTTCTGGAAAATTTCCAAACGTTGGTAGGACCAGAATTAAGAAATAGACATAGCCAGTTCCAAAACTGAATTTGATTCAATATAGTACATTGTGGATATTAAATTAAAATTTTAACTATTTGTATATTTAATTTTAAAGTTTTGACACACTGATACAATTCGACAGCAAGTTGTAGAGGAAGACTGCATATGGTTCAAAAGTCTCAAGTTTCAAACCTCAATCAGCTCAAGGAATAAGGAACTGGCAAACCACTTCCCTAAAGTATTGCAAAGACAACGAAATAAACTTGTCCAGGTACTATAGGACTCAAGATTGACTTAAAGTTCATTTAGAAAGATAACTTTGAATTACATCATTGTATCATCTGAAGCTACACACACAAAAAATTCCCCTATAAAGTATGCAAATAAGCCACAGGTAGAGATATGAGGACTTATAAAGGATAGCCACCCCTAACATTAGAATGTCTTATACTGCACTGTATACAAGTTAGCAGAATTTTCTTTGGTGGTATAGAGAAGTTTCTTTTCCCTTGGTGGCATTCTTCTACACAATGGGAGCAAGGGAAGTATATTTCATCAGCAAAAATTGTCTTAAAATCTTTACTGTATGTAAGAATAAATACAATACTACTGAACTGTATGTGGCATGAGAACTTAAAATGCTAGCTGTAAGCCACCTTTAGATTAGAGTTGCTACTATTGGGCTAGTTTGAGTAGGCTATTTCAGGGCATCATATTTAATTTTCCCAAACCCAAGAATTGGCCCTAACAATACAAGCGTCAGCACAGAACAGAACAGAGCAATGCAGAACCCTTTTCCCCCTTCAACCATCTTTCATTCAGTAATCGATTTCTGTTATCTTTCAAAGAACTGAACTTTTTATAGCTTTACAGTAAAAACATTTTAATAATAATTTATATGTAACAAAAGAAAATACAGGTATTATTATTATAGACATAATA